AATTTGGATGTACATGACACGAATGCATGTCTGATGTATGTATGTATCGTCATCAGTTCCTAGTTGCATTCCCATTGACGACCCCCAGCTTTTTTGTAAGAGGTGGACTATTTGAAATCCGAGAGTGTTGCGTAAATATTTTTTTGCTCACAGTTTTGATACAGTCAATCTATAATTACGAATATTTTATTTTCAATTAAATTATATACATGTGTCTACAGACTTTATCATGTAATGAGTTTCTGAGTACTGTTACAAACTTGTTAATGGAATTTTGATGTATTCGTGCTCGAGAGATCCTTGGTTTGGGTGAAGAGTCTTCCTATAGAAAAGAAAAGTGTTGGCTAAATAAGTTATTCAATATGACCAAACAAGTTACTCTTATATAGGTTGAGACCAAACCTGCTGACATTTCGGCCAAATTACAATGATTTCGATTCCAGATATAATTCTACATTGCATATTCACATATATCCCTTTGTGTTCTAATTCCATCTGCCATGCAAACCATTTGAAAATGTAGCCCAAGATGAGACTTAATAAAAGATTATCGAATGTAAGTAGTCTGGGTTGTTCACTCCTGTCTGGATGGGCTGCTAACGTTCTGATATTTAACTATTTATAAATTGATAGTACCGGTAACATTTAGGGTGAATGCACAATGGTCACACTGTCGATTATAGATTAATATAGCAGGCATGGGGAAAACATAAATTTTAAACCATTGTTTTGAGCTAGTTCAGCATACTACATTACCTAAGGCGCAGAGGCAAAATATTAGCAGTCCTTCCAGACAAAAGTGGAGAGTGGGTAACCATAGGAACTGTCATTTGGCACATACATGGATAGAGATTACTATCACCTCCCCCCAGCAATCAGCTGTTTAGCTCAGTCAGTAGAGCGATCAACTATCCAACCCTAACATCTCACAGTCGGGCCAATCAGAGAGCAGCTTTTTGTGCAACACCAATAAATAGTATGAATGAATGCGCATGTGGCTTTCCCCAAAGAATCCATGTTTCCAGTTACATTGAAATCATTTGAGTGGTTCTTGAGATATAGGTGAAAAAGCCTAGAATTGACTAATTACTAAGAAAATTACCCATAGATAATTATTATGCACAGATTTAAACCAAAAATCAATCAAGCCTGCAAATTGTCCAAGACCATTCTTGCACTAATTACCATTGAAATCCAACAAGTGGTTCATGAGATATTTTTGGAACAGACATACATACAGGTTAACTATAATAACTTATAAATTGTGCTTCGAAGATGGAAGCTGTTTAAATGTTGAGATTTTCCCTGACTTTTAAATTGTCTGGTGACAGGGATTAATCTTTAATAGGAAACCCTAACTATGTGGCATCTAAGCCAATACAGTTAATTTGATACGTCACCCTGCAGTTACAGGGAATCAAGCACTCCAAAGCAAATGTCATCTATCTCAACATACGATAATAAAGAGATAAATATCAAATTATGACGACAGAGACCACAAGATAAATGGAAGTATTGCATCAAGATATCTTGTATACAAATCTGAATTTAAAAACGATCCTAAATAAATATAGTACTTGATTGTAGGTAGAGAACAGTTTCTATAGTAACCATGGATGAGGAAGACAGCTATTAGTAAAATGTCTCCATCACGTGATACTAGATTTTTTTAGACAACATTACACATTTAATATTTAAACTATGTATATGCCACTGTTCCCTCACTATAATTTGCTATAAAAAAGCTAAGGACAATGTGCTCTATGATAATATTGGACCCAGTCGTAGATCTAAAATAAACTGACAATGTAAGGAAAAATTACCCCCCCCATTTTCTATAAATGTATTTAAAGGACAGTGCTCGCCATGCCACGATGCATGCATGCATGCATGCACACTCACACTGCAAAGACTCCGATTGTGTGCTTTGAACACAGGAGTCAAAAAATACACAGAATAATAAATGTAATAAACCAACAATCACAGTTTATTTCTTTTCAACCATGATTGGTTTTTAACTTAAATGATCAATGATTTTTTAATAGCAAAATTATGTAATTATAAATAAAATTGAATTCACTGAAAGCAATTTATATATCACCACTATACAATTGGAAAATAATATTTCATGTTGATTACCGTGGTAACGAGGAAATGGCAGTACATACAGCAATTATGTGAATCAAGCTTAGGCCAGGAAAAAAAAAATTCTCTGTTTCTCGTTTCATAGAAAATTTTAAAATGAGGAGGTGAAGCGTTTTTTTTTTTTTTTAATACTGAATTAAAATGGGGGAAATTTGAAACAAGTGTGAGTACAAGCGCATTTTGGAATGCTTTAGAAAGAAAAAAAACGTTTGAGGCGCATAGTTCAAAATGATGAATCGACATTGCCTAGATTTTTCAGACTGACATTGTATCTTTTTATGGGCAAACTGGAAAATTAGCATTTGCAGGAACACCTTTCAGCTCTACTTAAAATTCTCTTTTTGAACCAACCAAAATGTCAACTTGTACATGTAAGATGTGGTGTATTATTGAAAAAATTCTCTCATATAACAGTATGAGCCAACCAGCACTGCGGAATAATAAATTGGGAATAATTAATTAATTTCCATGAAATAAAAAGTTATTTCTACCTATGTTGGTTTCAATGTTACCAGAAACAAACTATTAATTTTAGTACATGTTAACAGTACTGAATAACAGAACTGTAGAATACTGTAGAATACTTTATTTTCGCTTGGAATTTATTTTCGCTATTTTCGCTGAAGAGATGATTCTGTGAAAATAAAATCCAGCGAATATACTTTTTTTCCTATATTTCACATTAAACTCATCAAAAATCAGTGAAAATAAATTCCAAGCAAAACGCCCAAAAAGCCTTTTCAGCGAAAATTAATTCCAGCGAAAATAAAGTATTCCACAGTACTTTATTTTTAGGTGGTAAATACAATTTATGAGAAATTGGAGAAAATAAATTGTATCAACCCAATTTACAATCTTCAGTAGTAGAAGTAGAATCAAAACAAAAACACTGTTTGTACGTATATAAAATATAAAACAGATTCATTTTGAACTATATATTAATGTTACATGTCAAAAAAATCCAACTACAGAATACCTGACAGAAAAGATCCATGAGTTGAATATTATATTTATCATAACTCAAATTCACATCCTTTGATCATAATTTTTGTACGAATAAATCACAACAGTAAGTAAAAAGAATATTTGAAAAAAAATGATGGTGTCTATGATTATTAAAGGTTTGGAATATATTTTTTTTTTCATAATAATTCAATTGAGACATGTCGTGGCCATGGGTAATATACGGTACTGTTTGAGCCAGCAGTTGACAAATTGTTTGTGATTAGCTGAATGTATGAAAGCAGTCACTGTGGAATCATACACATTATCTGTTTTCACAATGATATGCATCAATATAAATATGATATTTATTTAATAAATGAACAACAAAGCAATCACAAATTTCCTGTTATACCATTAATATGTCACAGAACATTGCAATTTACAATGGTAATAATAACTAACCGACTGAGTATGCCCTCTTGAATCAAGGACATCATACTTTGTGTGTCATACTCATTTTCACTGAAACTGCAATACCAGTGTTGTAGGTCAGGTTTGAAGGCGAGATGAAAGGGGGGGGGGGATAGAAAAAAAGCAAACAACTATAATGCATGTCACACAGCGACATATTTCTTTTAACATCACGATCAGAAACAACTCTTTTTTTGGCCTTATGTTAAATACACTGCACATGTCTGTAAACAGAAATAATTTCAGAGATTTAATTTGATAATCCCCCAAACTAAATAACTAAAGAAAAATATTTTGCAAATTAAATTAATTTATAAAGCGTTTACAGTGCACGTTTGCTGTTTTAGTTAAGCTCATTTCTGACAGTATTATTAATCCTATTTCAATCTACAGTAACTGCTTATTTCTGTATTTCATCTCAGTTCCAGTTTATTCAGCCCATAGATTTGCACATGCCATATGGTGTATACATTCATGATTGAACAACACTTATACTACTTATTCAGGGTAATAGGTTAACACCTTAAAAAAAACTCTGCAACAGCAACAATTATTACACTTATTAATTTCATATTTAGAAAATAAATTCCATTAGTTTTAGAAGTGCAACACCTGACAACTCATCTCTGGGCATTACACTCATCTCATCCAATATAGTGGTTACTACATCCATACAAGACACACAGAATAATGAATTCCAGACATACTTGATAGATAGATATTAGTTTTTAATAGTTATTAGTAATTCAAAGCATATTAAAATCTTCTGCAGCCACATAGGAATGAAAGATCATGATTTGAACCAAAACTTCCGTTTGTAAATACAATTAACAGCAATGTTGACCAATTGGTCACTCAAATCTGTCTAGTATTCAGAAAAAATATATCTGAAATGTTGAACTCGCTGCATACTAATGATATAAACTACCATACGCTGTTTCACTTTTACAGAAGTCATGTTACTTTCGAAAAACTAATTTTTCCCCATGAAAATGCATCTGTCTCGAAATCAAAGCAGTATAGCCTTACAGCCTCAAGTCTGCATCGTGAACTGTACAACCACATAAGAATATTTTTTTTTGTTTATTTATGAGAGATTTAGAAAAAATCTAGACATACACGTATGAGAAAATAATCCATGAATGATAGATTCCAACCTATAAATTCTACACAAGTACTGTTTGTTTCAACACGTTCTTTGCATCCACAAACACAATTCAAAAATGTGTGATTAGTGTAATAGTTCTTATCCATATATATAACTTTTATACAAAATGTAGCTTTGGTCTCAAATACTCTTCTCAACTTTTGATGCTAATTTACAGTTTGAATAAAAATTGGTGAGAAATTATTTATGTAAATAATTATGGTACACCTTTTCACCACCACATTTTTTCCCACCCAAATTGTTGAACATTTTTTCACTTTTCTATATTTTTTTTTTCTAATTTCAATGTCTGGTCTAACATTGATTGCAGGTTGTGATTCAATGATTTACAGACTGGCCAACATTCTTGTTAGAAATGAACAATAAGAATATAAGTTACATAGTTATGAAATGTGACAAATACGGATAAATATTGACAAATGGTTATTAATAACACATATTTGTGAAAAGTGACAATGGCAGTAAATAAGTAATTAATAATTAATAGAAAATTAGCATATCAGTAATCAAAATTGCAGCTACGAAAGAAACCAAACCACCTGTGCATAAGTATGAATAACAATAACCCGAAATGGAATTACAACATTCTCTGCTATAATTAAATGTAATCATAATTAATTTTACTTCATTGATTGATTAGCTCTGAGAATGTCACATTCCTGTTGAAACGGTGTCCCTTAAAAAAACAACAACATATACTCACTGAAACATGACTGAAAATGAATGCACCTATTTCTGAAAAACAATCTCCTCCTTGTAAATCAGTTCAAACTAAAATTCACAAATGTAAGGATAAAATACAGATCTTTAAATAGAAATGATCTCTTTAGAATGCAAATAATATGGTTTGATCTTGAAAGCACCGTACATACATGTATAATTAAATATGCACGGTTGCCATTCATACATATACATAATAAACAACTAATTAACAATATGACCTAAGTATAATGACAAATTGTTGCTGACAATGTTATTTGGAATATAGCTGTCACATATTATAACTGATCACGATCCGTATAATATGTAAATTAAACACATCTGGTGTAGACTTTGACGTCAACGACTGCAAATGTTTCTTTGTTTTATATTCATTATTTATATACAGGATAAATTGTTACTAATCATATTCTAAATATTATAGTGTAAAGATTACCCATGGTTCAGGCTCTTTCAGCTGATTCTATCAAATGCATTGTATCTCTATGTCAGCTGTGTCTGTGTATTTTTGAAAGCTGATCACAGTGGGGTTCATAATTATTGTCAATCCAAAATTGCTCAATTTGAGAACTATTTCAATAGAACACGATAGCCAAATATGATCAATGGAAAGCAATTAACAGTGATGAGGTGTTTTAAAATTACTGATGATAATTAATGTCTTGTGTTTTCCTCATGACCTGTCTTGTCCCTGTGTGCATGTGCCACGAAAAATTACTCCGTGACCAAAGTACATTTTGTAGCTAAATTTGAAACAAATATCATGCAAATATAAAAAAAAAATTACATTATGATAAATTTCCACACTGAAAATTACAATATGTATTTTTAAGCACACTCAAATAAATAAATGTGAAGTGTTTAACCCTCTGAATGCCATACAACTTTCTAAAATTCCTTTATTTTTGGGGTGTACCAGGACTTTTGTGAAAGACGACAAAATTGACTTTTGCTTTTAAAGGGTGAAAAAAGAAGTACAAAAATGATGGATACTACGAGGTAAAATCTGGTAGTAATATAACCCTGCTGGAATATGAGAGGATCAAATTTGGAATTTCTACAAAAGCATTGTATCTATGCCATATAATGTCAATAGTGAATTCTAGATTTTCAAGGTATTTTATTACTCCAACAATTCTAGCTCCATAGAAAATGTTAAAATCCACTAATGGTTAATAAGGTTTGTGCTAAATTAAATTATTCAATCTATTGTTAATTATTTTAGATTCAATTTTCAACATAAATCAGAATATTAATTTTTTAACTGTTACTTTGATTGTTTTATTAGCTATGCAATATCAGTAAGAGAACAATCATTATTTATTTTCACACATTATCGACTTCACAACTCTTTTGTTATCAGACCGTATATTTCATGAACTTTGAGTTTACAAAGGAAAATGACAGACGGCCTGACAAAATGCTTAAAATGGTTAACAGGGCAGTTTTTCATTTACTGTTATCATTACCATGCATCTACAGTAATGATACTCTGCTACAGGAGATTATGCACTTTATTGTCTCCGACGATGTCAGTTATCCAAGTATGTGACACCTATATATATTGTAAGTCTCTAGCAAAGTATTTTTGAATGAATACAAAAAATGTTCAGGTCGACAATACCGATATATGTATAGATTTGGTATATAGGACACTTTGTGGGGAGTTCATGAGACAATACAATGCTGAATTACACAACCAGGTTATGGTGCTAACCGAAGGATGCTATGATGCAGTTACCTAGAGGGTACTGTATAATTTCACTGTACCTAGGGAGACATTCACCTCAAAATACTACCTGGTTATTGACGATAATGACTCGGTAAATGAATTTAGTAGATCAACCTTATTAATTAGTAAAAAAAGTGATCCGTTTCATTACACAATGACACTTTGTACCATACCACTCCTCAACATGAACAGCTAGTGCCATCACTGGTGGCGGTTGACCTGCTGCACACAGCCGATCGTGAAGACGGTTCTCGGCCTATGCTGATAACCTTCGCACGTTTCATTTCTTTTGATCCATACTTGTGTAATACAGGATAATCATTTGACATCATTGGTTTCTGACTTTTTAACTTGTGCGCTAATGTCATAAAAATCGCACTGACATTATCAACTTCGTTGTCGTCTTTTGCAGAGGTTTCGAATAGCGGCATCTGATTAGCATCAGCAAATTTCTGTGCCAAACTCGTCGCAACCGAAATCTTCTGGTTCATATCACACTTATTCCCCACTAAGATTCTTGGTATGTCCGGTGACAGTGAGTGCCTTTCACATTCTTCAATCCAGGTCGGCATGCCTTCGAACGTGTTCATTTTTGTCATATCATAAACAAAAACCACTGCATGCACGTTTCTGTAGTAATGCTGAACCATACTTTTACGAAACCTTTCTTGGCCAGCAGTATCCCAAAGTTGTAGCTACAATATAGAAATGAAAATTTAATTAATATCCTTACAGTTATTTTTGATTGGTATCAAATTTAATAATTTAAAAAAATAAAAAAGAATGGCAATAACACATAGCATGGTATCCAGTCGACATGTCATCCAAACATACAGTCTGGTATCCAGCCGACATGTCATCCATACATACAGTCTGGTATCCAGCCTACATGTCATCCAAACATACAGTCTGGTATCCAGCCGACATGTCATCCATACATACAGTCTGGTATCCAGCCTACATGTCATCCATACATACAGTCTGGTATCCAGCCGACATTTCATTCATACATACAGTCTGGTATCCAGCCTACATGTCATCTATACATACAGTCTAGTATCCAGCCTACGTGTCATCCAAACATACAGTCTGGTATCCAGCCGACATGTCATCCATACATACAGTCTGGTATCCAGCCTACATGTCATCCAAACATACAGTCTGGTATCCAGCCGACATGTCATCCATACATACAGTCTGGTATCCAGCCTACATGTCATCCAAACATACAGTCTGGTATCCAGCCTACATGTCATCCAAACATACAGTCTGGTATCCAGCCTACATGTCATCTAAACATACTGTCTGGTATCCAGCCTACATGTCATCCATACATACAGTCTGGTATCCAGCCTACATGTCATCTAAACATACAGCTTGGTATCCAGCCTACATGTCATCTAAACATACAGTCTGGTATCCAGCCTACATGTCATCCAAACATACAGTCTGGTATCCAGCCTACATGTCATCCAAACATACAGTCTGGTATCCAGCCTACATGTCATCCAAACATACAGTCTGGTATCCAGCCTACATGTCATCCATACATACAGTCTGATATCCAGCCTACATGTCATCTAAACATACAGTCTGGTATCCAGCCCCAAACATACAGTCTGGTATCCAGCCTACATGTCATCCATACATACAGTCTGGTATCCAGCCTACATGTCATCCAAACATACAGTCTGGTATCCAGCCTACATGTCATCTAAACATACAGTCTGGTATCCAGCCCCAAACATACAGTCTGGTATCCAGCCGACATGTCATCCATACATACAGTCTGGTATCCAGCCTACATGTCATCCAAACATACAGTCTGGTATCCAGCCTACATGTCATCCAAACATACAGTCTGGTATCCAGCCTACATGTCATCCATACATACAGTCTGGTATCCAGCCTACATGTCATCTAAACATACAGCCTGGTATCCAGCCTACATGTCATCCAAACATACAGTCTGGTATCCAGCCTACATGTCATCCATACATACAGTCTGGTATCCAGCCTACATGTCATCTAAACATACAGTCTGGTATCCAGCCTACATGTCATCTAAACATACATTCTGGTATCCAGCCTACATGTCATCCATACATACAGTCTGGTATCCAGCCTACATGTCATCCAAACATACAGTCTGGTATCCAGCCTACATGTCATCCAAACATACAGTCTGGTATCCAGCCTACATGTCATCTAAACATACAGTCTGGTATCCAGCCCCAAACATACAGTCTGGTATCCAGTCGACATGTCATCCAAACATACAGTCTGGTATCCAGCCTACATGTCATCCATACATACAGTCTGGTATCCAGCCTACATGTCATCCATACATACAGTCTGGTATCCAGCCTACATATCATCTAAACATACAGCCTGGTATCTAGCCTACATGTCATCTAAACATACAGCCTGGTATCCAGCCTATATGTCATCTAAACATACAGTCTGGTATCCAGCCTATATGTCATCTAAACATACAGCCTGGTATCCAGCCTATATGTCATCTAAACATACAGCCTGGTATCCAGCCTACATGTCATCTAAACATACAGTCTGGTATCCAGCCTATATGTCATCTAAACATACAGTCTGGTATCTAGCCTACATGTCATCTAAACATACAGCCTGGTATCCAGCCTACATGTCATCCATACATACAGTCTAGTATCCAGCCTATATGTCATCTAAACATACAGCCTGGTATCCAGCCTACATATCATCCATACATACAGTCTGGTATCCAGCCTATATGTCATCTAAACATACAGCCTGGTATCCAACCTACATGTCATCTAAACATAGTCTGGTATCCAGCCTACATGTCATCCAAACATACAGTCTGGTATCCAGCCGACATGTAATCCAAACATACAGTCTGGTATCCAGCCTACATGTCATCTAAACATACAGTCTGGTATCCAGCCTACATGTCATCCAAACATACAGTCTGGTATCCAGCCTACATGTCATCCATACATACAGTCTGGTATCCAGCCGACATGTCATCTAAACATACAGTCTAGTATCCAGCCGACATGTCATCCATACATACAGTCTGGTATCCAGCCGACATGTCATCCATACATACAGTCTGGTATCCAGCCTACATGTCATCCAAACATACAGTCTGGTATCCAGCCTACATGTCATCCATACATACAGTCTGGTATCCAGCCTACATGTCATCCATACATACTGTCTGGTATCCAGCCTACATGTCATCCATACATACAGTCTGGTATCCAGCCTACATGTCATCCATACATACAGTCTGGTATCCAGCCTACATGTCATCCATACATACAGTCTAGTATCCAGCCTACATGTCATCCATACATACAGTCTGGTATCCAGCCTACATGTCATCCATACATACAGTCTAGTATCCAGCCTACATGTCATCCATACATACTGTCTGGTACAAATGTATCAAGCCTACATGTCATCTAAACATAGTCTGGTATCCAGTCCTTGGTTAGACATACTGGTATAAATAAATAAATCAGTAAATCAACTGCACAGACTGTGCTCACATGATTGTAATAGCATGACCTTGATATTTTACAATATTATGAATGTGCTGTCAGAGATATATAGGTAAAACTGACTGAATAAACACAATTTTGAGAGGGTATGTTGCATTTATTACACTATAAATTTTTATACTGTTTGTCTTCACAATCAATATGAACTTTTCTTGTTTTCTTTTGATAAATAAGCATGAGGATGAAAAACATGTTTTTTATCTGTCCTTGCAAAATACTATCCATGTTTATGCATCTATTCTGTTCATTATCATTTTAATCCCATCCCTCGTTATTGAAAAATACAATACACACAGTCATACAAGTTCTACAAAAGGCATGGAAACATCTGTAAAAAAAAAAATCTACAAAAAACTAAATAGTTTTTACGATTGGATTTGTCTTTATAATCTCCGCACTAACAGGGTTTCCAAGATCTCTTTTTTTGAATATATTAAACAATGGCATTTAAAAATCGATTAATTAACTAAAATTAATTAAGTGGACAAAATTAAATCTCTTGTTCAATTATAAAATACGAGTCCTTGTTAACATATGAATACCGCTATAAACACCAATCTCAAATTTAGGTTGTTGCACTTGAAATGGCGCAAAACTGAAATGAATGCATTGTTTATAACTGTTAAAAAAACGCAAATCAGATTGTTCATGTTTACATTGTTAGTAACGTTTGACTTACTTTTATTGTCTCACCGTTAACATCTACTGTCTTCTCGCGAAAATCTACACCTATCGTTGCCTCTGTCTTTTCGGGAAACTTGCCTCCACAAAATCGAAATGTCAAACACGTTTTCCCAACATTTGAATCGCCAATAACAATGATTTTAAAAATTCGTGTTTGTTTTGAACTGCTCTCGATACTGCTCAATATATCTTCGCCACCGTCATCTTTTTTCATGCTCTCTTCTTTGTCTTCCATTTTCTCTGTGATTAATGCCGAGCTGCGTTATTCACGACTGTTGTAGATCGACAGTGTTTGGTTAGCTTCGCGACAAACGCGTCGTGACAATAACTGCGAGTTTTACTTCGGTATATTATTGTCGCTTTCCGCCATGTTTGTTACTATTTTTAGAGAAGTTTCGTCGCTGGCGCCATGGCATGCCGGGAGCTATGCAGTCACCTGATATCTAAACAGCTGATACGACAACAACAACTTCGTTCTTGGTAACTTGATTAAGAAAAAACACAATCTCGTGATAATCTAAATTTAATAACTATTCTTCTAATGTTAATGGGAAATATAACAAGTCGTCTATTCTAGCTGTATTCCTCATATCCCTGAGGTCAGGTCACAGGAGGTCATCTGGGGTCACAATACAGACATGGTGTGCATGGGTTAATCAATCGACAATAGTTGATGGTTTTTAGGTGACTAAACTACCATCAAAATGTCTTCTCGGCTGGAAATAATAAAAGATCACTTTGTCACTCAGCGTTCTAGACATATCGTCGGTACAGACTGTTCAAGTGAAAATCTGCCTCAAGCACTGAACCAGGTAAGGGGTGGGCCATTTAAAATAAAGGGGAGTAAAGTTTTAAGGAAAAAGTGCCCTTGCTGATTTCTTTTGTTCAAATTGCATTCCCCAATGTTTTTAATGTTCAACCCTTGCAGAGACTGAAAACAATATATACAATCTTAATATCAATATCATAATTTAATTTTCACAATATTATATTGGTTTCTAGAAGTGCTCCATTTGTCTGTGTTTTCCACTTCAAAGAGCAGATCATTAGCAACCCAACATTAACAAATTAATTCGTCCATATACTCTCCAGTCCGCACAATTCCAGAAGCCGTACCTAAACACGAATTGGTGACATCACAAAATACATGACCTTTATTCAGGGTCGTTTGTTCGGTATATACAAATTGGTATATACAAATTACAATAAAGATACTTTAAAAAATAAGACATTACAAATAAGGTGGAACAAATCATGTGACAATATAATGATAAGTACAGTAATAACTTCTAGCTTAACAGTTGAACAAAATGATCATATAGATAAGATAAGATAATTCGTTATTACAACCATATTGAATGAATTTCAATTTAGGTGAATACAAATGTAATAAAGGTATAACAAACTATTCTAAAAAACTAAAACTATACTTATCATAAAGATACAGTAAAGAAATATTACTGGTACTTGAACATAAAAATTAAAATATTATTATAGTCAGTGGGGTCACACCAAGGGTCCTGTGGTTGAAACTATGTCATGACGTGATGCACGAGGAAGACATCATTAAATACTCACAAAATCTCAATACAAAACGGGGTGGGGTGTGGGAGGTGTGGTCACGTATTACAATGTAGCAAACATGGGAAATGAAAAAAAAAACGCCTAATACAAATGCCAAGGGCTTGAATTCTACTAGATAAACACTCGCCAGAACCAAACCAATCATTTTGGCTTTCCCATTCAACTAGTCGGGACATTAAAATACTGTAGAATACTATATTTTCACTTGGAATTTATTTTCGCTATTTTCGCTGAAGGGATGATTCAGTGAAAATAAAATCCAGCGAATATACTTTTTTTCCTATGTTTCACATTAAACTAATCAAAAATCAGTGAAAATAAATTCCATACAAAACGCCCTAAAAGCCTTTTCAGCGAAAATTAATTCCAGCGAAAATAAAGTATTCCACAGTAGTTAGCAAAATGAAGACCACTCAACGACCAACGTCGTGGCGTGGTACACAAGCGTGCCATCGAGATAAAAACAAAATTAGCTTGAAAAAGCAGTGGTTTGAGTCCCGCTCAGAGAAAGTTTTTTTCACGAAAATGAGCCTCAAATATTTGTAGAGACATTTATTCTCTCAATTTAACAACTTGTAATGGTGGAAATTAATTAAACAAGAGTTGTTTACATCAAAATAAGTATCAAATATTTGTTCATACTTTGATTCGGTTTAAAACCCATCCATGCCTGTCTTTTCTCACAAACACCAACTTGCAATGAAAATAATATTACAACAAATTGTTTGTGTGACTACCTACTTGGTTCAATGGATTTGTTCACTGTTAGCAATGTGAGAGATCGTTGGTTCAAATTTCTCTGGTTTGCAACATTTTTAAATGCTAGTGAGAACAGGTCTCCTGTAAATAAAACCTAAATCCTATATCATTTGTGTTAAGACACTCTTGGTACAGTGGACGAAACAGTGCGCTGGTAACTCAAAGGTTGCATGTTTGAATCACTGACTGGACACTCCTACAAAAGTTATGAAAAATGTTAAAGACATATACAGCTCAAAGTTTCAGTATATCAAGAACTCAAGTCAGCTCAATAACAGATATAATAATATTACAACAAATTATTTGTGTGACTACCTACTTGGTTCAATGGATTTGTTCACTGTTAGCAATGTGAGAGATCGTTGGTTCAAATTTCTCTGGTTTGCAACATTTTTAAATGCTAGTGAGAACAGGTCTCCTGTAAATAAAACCTAAATCCTATATCATTTGTGTTAAGACACTCTTGGTACAGTGGACGAAACAGTGCGCTGGTAACTCAAAGGTTGCATGTTTGAATCACTGACTGGACACTCCTACAAAAGTTATGAAAAATGTTAAAGACATATACAGCTCAAAGTTTCAGTATATCAAGAACTCAAGTCAGCTCAATAACAGAACAGTAGAATACTACCTCCAATGAAAGCAAGTCAAAGCCGTGGAAGTACGAACAAGGTTACCATCTGCATGTCGCATGCACACCAACAGATTATTGCTGCTCTCCAAATGGGTCCCTTTTTTGTATTGACCCCCTAAGGTTTGCCCTTTCTAAATCTTACCCCCACAAATTGTATATCACCCTCTTTTAGAATGTATTGACCCACAAATTAATGAATAATCATGACACTGCCATGTCATGAATAAATTAGCATAACTTAAAAAAAATTGCATAAAGTATAGGTACGTCTTCTGGAATTATGCCAATCTTTCTTACAGCTTGATATTCCCGATGTGGAAGTGTTGGCTCCACCACAGGGTCTGGAAAATGAATTTAACACAATCTTCACAGTGGAGGCTGTTTCTTTCATTGCGGAATTAGTTCAACAATTTGACAAAAATGTAGACCAGGTAAGTGAATATTTTTATGAAGTGCATGTTTTTATTTAAAAGAAACATAACAACTTGCTGATTCACAATGATACACTGGAAGGGTCTGAAAACTACACAGGTAGAGTATCGATCAATCAGCTAATGGTGTATTACCCTGAAAACTTTCACATGACTGTGTTTGTATTTGTTGTCTTCAAAGTATAAAAACATCTCAACATACCTTGTATATATTTATAATCCAGCCTATATTTACTAATGTTAAACTATTTGTTTATATTAGATGCTGCAAGCTCGCATTGTACGGAAAGCTAATTTAGATTCAAGTGGAGCTTTACCAGACTTTTTATCAGAATCTAGACACATTCGTGAAAGCTCATGGAAAGTCAAACCAGTACCACGTAGATTAATTAACAGACATATTGATTTAGGAGATGTGTCTCCCAGTAATGAGGTACACTTGAAGAATGCCTTGAAGTCAAAAGCACAGGCAATACAGGTATCACTGTAATCTAAATATTTTGAACTTCATTGTATAGAGCAATCAAGTTTGTTGTGTCGGTATAACTCTGTAACAGGAAAAACAAACCACCAGACTAATAGTTGAAATCTGTGAAGTTATTTTTCATCCAAGAAGCAATAAAAAGCATTTTGATACAAGTACTCATTCATCAGAAATACCCCAACACGAAGATATCAGTGTCTCACTTGTCAGCTATGCACAATACACAATCAATACAATAAAATGTATTCGGGCGCTGTAGAATATCATACCCGGTAATGAATTATTTGTGATTGAAACTGGATGGCATAGTTTTGATGCACCTATCAAGAAGAGACCGACACTACCCAAGATCACATGCACCCAGTGTGCTACCAAGGATCAGATCAGCAACCCTTGACCAAGAGCCCAAACAACTGTATCAAAATATAATTACAAAACTGTCAAAATAGTGAATTACAAATCTTATAGTTGGAAATTACAATGAAATATCAAACACTAGGTTTATCAAATAAAGAACAAATACATTACAACAAAAATAAACTGTTTCTCCAATACCATTCGCCCTTTGTGGTGACTTTGTAAGTAAATGCGAACTGTCTAACTGCTTCAAATTACTCAATAATTACATTTTGTACATAGAATTACAGGAAGTAGAAGTTTGGCAATGTAAGTTTGATAGTAATTCATTATTGTATTATTAAATGGCAATAGAGAGTTTAAGCGTACATAGCGGGAATGTAACATGTTGTTCTAATTTTGTTTGCATTATGTTCTTGGGTGTCAAAAAACTAATTAAGTACAAGCACCAACAACGTAACTGAAACAGAACCATGTCAACCGGTCTCTCATTGGTTAACCATAATTGACTATCCCATCAAATTTGTTATGTCATTTCACGTTCGGAATCTGAATTTGACAGAGCCCTCGCTATTTCCATCCATTCTGTTGAGGTCCCAGGCCTGTTTGCCGAAACATCTTTCAGCAGATCAATGTCATGCGTTACCGTCCATCTAAATACATGTCTCTTCGCGGGAGTGGCCATTTTGAAATGTTTAAGAATAATTCATTTAGTTCCGTTTAAACTATAGTAGATGGTTAGTACACATCGCCTTTTGAGAAAGTGAACATAAATGCCCGGTGTTGTCTGCTTTGTTTACATAACGAGGTGACCAGTTGTGTACGTTTTCAGTGGGTGTAAATATCAGCTAAAATGCAACCAATATTTCTCATTACACCATAAATATACAAAATCACTCTAATAAAAACGTTCTATCAATGTCAGTAAAAATTATTCACAATTGACAATGAGAAAAGCTCTCGGAAATCAACTACAAGTCAGTCACCTTGTTCACGTTCAAAACGACTGCCGTACGTACCTGGCAACCGATGACGTCATTGGTTCTCCATACAAATATTTATTTCCACATGTTACATCTCCATACATATATTTATTTCCACGTGTTACATCTTCATACATATATTTCACTAGTACATGTATCTAGACTATGCAATACTGAGTTTTTAATGTACGTAATGAGCTCATTTGCATATTTGATTACTTTTTGTGTATTAACTGCATGTAATTTATATGATAATACTTATGATAATAATACTGTGCTTTAATTGTTAAAATTATTTACGCCGTAATCACATAAGGTTTCTGTTATGTGCTTTAGTGTGCAGACTAATAAGTATATTAACATAAAATCATGTTTAAGGTAAAGTGTGTGTTTTTCTTCCTAAACCCTTAATTGAAAACAATTGAAAATAAACTTTAATTTTCAGGTTGATTTTGATGATGGTCATTGTCCAAGCTGGAAGAACCAATTGTTAGGATATTACAATATCTATAACGTGGTTTATAATAAGTATCCTGATATTGCAGCATTGTCCGATATTCCAGTTTTGATGTTAAGACCAAGAGCTTGGAACATGGTAGATCATGCAGTTATGGTAATTACTATATAGCAAAACATGCATGTTTAATGTACTTTTCAATTCCCATTAAACAAAGTCCAAAATGGGGACTTATGCTTTGGTTTCTTTCTGTCCGTCTGTCCATTAGCAGACAAGACATAAATCTGTTAACCTTTGACTACTAATGGTATTTTTAGTCTCAAAAAACACCTTGTGTTCTCCAAGCATGTCTCGACTGATTTTGATTGATGAACATCAATTTGTTTGTAATCTGATCCAGCAAATTAGCAAAACTAGTTACAACACAGCATCTTTTTGTGCATCGGTGGCATATATCATATTGGCTTAGATGGCCATGTTAGATTTAACATTTCTCGGTCATACTCTGACCAATTTTGTTCAAGAAATTTGTCTTTCCTTAGTGGATATGTATTAACACGCTAGATACTCTTTCCCAATTTAATTATAATCTACGTCTTTTATCGTTAATAATACATGTCCAGTTACTAAAAACTGGACGGGGACTATGCCATTGACAATGATTTGTTGATAAGTAATGGTCTCTTTGCATGTGATTTCACAGCTGTTACACCACAAGATGTTTCACATGTTATTTGTACTGTGGTTATTTTGATGGTAATCGCGTATGGCCAGTAATATCTGGGCAACAATATTTGAAATGACAAACCTACAAAAGCCTATCTTGTCTATGGAGGAAATCACTAATTTATCGTGTCAAGGTGTTACTTTCAAATACTGTAGAATAATTTATTTTCGCTTAGAATTAATTTTCGCTATTTTCATTGAAGGAATGATTTAGTGAAAATAGAATCCAGCGAATATACCTTTTTATATGGTATATTTTACATTCAACTCGTTAAAAATCAGTGAAAATAAATTGCATACAAAACACCCAAAAAGTCTTTTCAGCGAAAATTTATTCCATCTAAAATAAAGTATTTTACAGTAATCGATTGTTATTTATTTATTAGTTTGTTTGTTTGTTAATTAAAGGTTAATGGTAAAGAAGTAGCTGGTCCTCTATTGGATTTTGGATTATTAATATACCATTTTGGACACATACTATTGGCCAATGAAAGTGGACCATTCTTTTATTTATCCAAGGTAAAGAATTCCTACATAATATTGTATAGAAAATAAAAATCTCAAAGAAGAGGGATAAACAGACATGTAATTAAAATACAGAATCACAAAATTATTGAACCTGAATGAGTGTATGCTTTGATATGTGAGGAATTAAAACTGACGTACAGTTAATATTTACTATTCATTTGTTTTCATGATTTTATTTATCCCAGTTATTACGATAGATGCAGTAATCTAAAGGAAAAAAAAATGGTATATATTTACTTTGCAGTTTTATCAATTTAAAATTGATAGCAAATTTGATATCAAAATTGCTTCCAGAATCTTCTCTAGCATAAATTGTTTTCAAAAAAAAAGGGAAAAACAGAAATTCAAATTTATTGAAGTTTATCATGAACCCTCTGAGTAACATTCACCAATGAGCGTATCGTGCATAAAATAATATCAATCGGTTTAATTGATGAATCAATCAAGATGTGAAAAGTCTATCATATATGGTTAAAACAAGTGTGATACACAATTGAATACTGAGTGGTTTTTTTTCTAAGAATGCTTTTGCTGCAGAATAAAAAATTACCAGGTAGTCTATTGTGAATTTTCAAGGTGGATGTTCTTGCAAAGAACTCCACTATCATCTTGAAGTATTTCATTAGGACTATATGTATGTGACATGCTGTGCCCTCACAGTTTAGAATCAGTTTATCAACAGCCAATCAGACTACTTCTTTCATTTTCATGCTTGGCCAAGCTATCAAAACAAATATGTCTGCGCACCGTGGAAGCTGTGTTAGCTTGGATGTCGATGATGTAAAAGATGGAGACATCAGAAATGCAAAATTTCAAGTCCTTTTTAACAGTCATTTGTAACAAAGCTTTCTATTGGTCTGTAAACCTTCTATCATGCAACCATGTGACATACATGGTTATGAATAGCGTTACCGCACAACATCGTGCAGGCAGATGATGGGGTGTTCATAAATTTAAGAATATTTTTTTCAATGATTTTTGCATCTTATTGATATTTATTTATTAGTTAGAAGGTCATAAAGAAGCCAGGTTATGGAACAAAGTATTTGATTGGTCTCAACAAAAGGTTAGTATTCAATAATTGTAATATTTGTTATTATTCCTAATTAGTAATTAGTAATTAATTTACATCCTCATCTGTAACTCTATTTGTTTACAAATTTATCAATTTTATTGGAATATATTTATGAATATTGATTAGAATAAAGCATAAAAAAACAAGTGATGATGCATTCAAAATGGGTAAATATATGTATTTGACTGGCCAATTATTGCATTCAATCTTCCTGGTGTAATTAACATTCAGTGATAGAATTCATGTTGTAGTAGAATCACATAGACATTGGGTGACCAAAATTGAAAAAAAAAAAAACATTTACACTTTTATTTTTTACTGTAAGATGAGGTGTGGTACACATACTTTAATACTTTTATTATACATCATTTACAAATGTGTATAATTATGCTCATAGATGTTAAACAAATGTTAAAGGAAGGAATCCAGAAAATATTTGGACTTAAGTGACTGAAGTACTTACAGTTATTGTATATTGTCTGTGAATGAAATAGTTATGGGGTTGGGTCTAAGTTTGTGGTTTGTCTTAAACATTGAGTGTTTACTGTCCAGGGTTTTATTCTTCACATTAGATAGAATTAATTCTTATGAAATTGCGAATAACCACCACAAAGGTATCCAAGTCTGTACAATGTGTGATTACAATTATGTTTTTATCCCTTTATGTACTTATCAATATGTTTGATTTTCAGTTAGAACTTCCCCATGGCTGCATCAAAGCATGTGTGTTGATTGAAAATATCTTGTCTTCTTTTGAAATGCATGAGATATTATATGAACTGCGTGACCATTCTGCTGGTTTAAACTGTGGCATATGGGACTACTCTGCTTCATTTGTTAATAAATTTGGTAAGCAGTAACATGCAACAAGCTATTTTGATTGTATTTAGCAACTAGGAATACAGTTCAATGACTAGTGATAACTACCAAATAACAATATAGTTTGATAAAAAATGATAACTAACAACTAGTAGGGGCTTAATGAGAAGTAACTAACAATTAACAGTAAAGCTTGAGGACTAGTGACTAGTGATAACAAGCAGTATACTATCAACTAGCAACATTTGATGTCTCATAGTAACTAACAATTAGCAGGGTGATGATGACTGGTAACTTACAATAAAGTTTGATGGCTAGTGATAACTACCAAGCAACTGTAGCATTTGATGAGTAATGACTAGCAACTAAAATAGAATGTGATAACTAATGGTAACTGGTGGTGTTTGATGAGTGGTAAATATCAACTAACAAAAGAATTTTATTTCTAGTGGTAACGAGCAACAAGTATCAATAGTTTTTCATTCCAACTTCATACATCATATTATATGATCAAATAGATTTCTTTTGCTGGTTACCATGGTGATGAAATGAGAAATCCTTGTGTGTATTGTATGTAATAACAGCTGATATGAATGGTTGAATGATTTTATAGAACAGAATTGGTCAGTTCAATAATTTAAAAATTAATAATTACTTTGCAGGTCATCGTAGTGCCTTTCTCTTGCCAGATAGAAATAAATATGTCAACATGGAAAAACACTTCCTTAAAAGCTATATGGATCTTGTGGTTCAGACGTGTCATCGCCGTGGTTGCCATGCAACAGGTGGCATGTCTGCATTGTTATTACCCAATGAAAATTCAAAAACTTATCGGGAAGTACTTCAGAAAACCACAAGGTGATTATAGATGTATAAAATACTTTAGAAAAGCAGTTATTGTAGTATAAAATATTTTTTTTTTATTTCAAATACTGTTTTTGTAGTAAAAAAAAATGTTGATACTTTTCTTTGTTTTTATTAGTGGCAAATTACGAGAAATTGAGGCAGGTGTTGATGGATTTCTGGTGTATGATATTAGACTCATTGATCATATGCATAAGGTAAGACTTTATTTTTTTTAAGACTTCAAATGTTTGGTTATTTGTTGTTGTTGAGTAAAGCCATGTTTGGTGTTAACATTTTTGTTAATGATTGACACATGTTTTAGTTCCACTCAAATCCAAATAGAAATTGTTTCCTCAACAATGTATGATTTTTTGTTTGTAACATATATTGATATTTGTAATTTGAAAATGTCATTTTAAAGATCACATGTTACTTCAATATATTAATACAATAATACTTTATTATCACTGTAAAGAAATTACAATCTTTTTTGAGCTCTGAGTAATAAAGTTAAATTAATAAACATGAACACAAATTAATTATAGTATAAAAAAAAACAAAGAAAGTTTCTAAATGCTTCTTTTCAAGTTTGCATTATCAATGTATTGGATTAGTGTTTTCAGTAAATGTTTATCTGATGCGTTCATGATATAATATATTATTATTATGGCCATGCATATCAATGTTCTGTTACAGTGATTGTAAGTTCACAGTTGATATCTGTTTAATTTTTAGTTGTTTGATAGACATGCACCAACCGTGAATCAATTATTTGTCAATCGATCTGATGTTAAAATCACTGCACAGGATTTATTGGTTATGCCAAGGGTGAGTGTTCAAAGCAATCTAAATTCTGCATTTCTGTTCAATTGAAGCTACTCATGCTGTATTATGTATTAGTAACAAATATTTTGGTTGACGCCAGCATAGCGCATTAAACTGCCATTTGATAGGAAGATGGCTGCACAGCCCTGTCATGTAGTCCCAAACATGAATATGACTTCTGTGGCAAAAATGCACTATGTCAGCACTAGCACTTGCAATTGCCCCCCCCCCCCCCACCCTCCCCCCCCCACCCCAAACAAAAGTCAGGAGAGACAATAGTGACATTCAATGTCCGGAACTGTCGCCTGGCACAAAAAAAAACAAATTGGAGTAAAAAGAAATCTGCCAAAGTACATTTCAAATTTCTTGGTATGATTTATCAAAGCTGTCACAGGAAATTTGTTATTACTTTTACTTTTAAAACATGGACACATTGATCAGTAATCTTGCTGCTGTTGGTGATGCGCCATTAATTTATCAAGATTTTGTAAAAATCAAGACTTGCAAGGAATAAATAAGCTGGACAATACTTATTTGTTGTAGCTGTGATATTATAACCTGAAATTTGAAAAGAAATATAGGATTTTTTGAAATGCTCTGAATAATAAGATTTTTTCCTCAACAGGGAGGAGTGACATTTGCTGGACTATTACATAACATAGCGGTCGGTGTCCTTTTCATCTATTCATGGCTTCGAAGTGAGTCACATCGTTGAGGGTTTGTTACATTTGCAGTATGCTAAGTAAGATGGTGTGAGTCCCATGCAATGTATGTTAAGTAAGATGGTGTGAGTCCCATGCAATGTATGCTAAGTAAGATGGTGTGGGTCCT